GTGGCAGCCTTGGACCCTCCTGACGGGTCTTTGCAGGTTGGGTATGTGTGTCCCATAGTGTCCCCAGTCATGCCACCATTAGACTGTGTGTGTCTCCCTGGCTTCCTTCCGAGGACCACCCACTTGCAGCACCGCCACCACCTCACAGAGGAATGGCGTCTACCAAAGATCATGTCTCCTGCTCATGGCAAGCTGGATCCTCCTAGATTATTTTGGCTGAAGATTATTGGCTTAGTACTTAATTTTGAGTGTTTTTATTTCTTAAGTAACTCTACACTTGTCTCTCTCTCTCTTTTTTCCTTAGACCTAACTTTTGACCATGCATCCTTTAACCCTGCTCCCTAACTGCTACAGTCCACTGGCTTTGAGTCTTCACTCCTGTCAACACGGTCCTTTAGGGTAGCCATCATAAGATGAGAGCCAAGACCCCCCGTAATTCTCAACAAGCTTTAATGGAACCTCTTAACAGCTGCAGGGCTTTGGCAGCCCCCCAGGAACCTCTCAGTCCAGGCAGCGTTCCTGTGAGTCACCCCTGCAGTGTGGGCCAGAATCCAACTCCACAGTTAGCCATGAAGGCCACAGGGCCCGCTGCTTCGTGGAGGGGACACCCCCTAAGAAAATTTCCCAAGATAATAGTTTTCCCACCTCCGCACTTTGTTGGTTAGGGCCTTCCACTTGCTCAGGCTGACCTTTTCAATCCCTTTGCTGATTAAGTCACTGAAAAGTATATACTGGTAAGTGTAGACGTTGTCCACAGACTGTAGACAGAACTCTTTCCTGTTGTTGATGATAAACCATTTCATAGACGACCAGGCCGAGTCTAAGGGGTTCAGGTAGTTATACGGGGAGGGCAGAGAGATTAGTTCATGGCCATAGGACTTGGCCACTCCCGGGGAACACACGATGCTTGTTAAGTTAATGCTTGTCGGGACATAGCCCTGGGCCTCTCCGTCCTTGTCTACTTTTGGCTTCATCTCCTCTTGCTGCCTTCGCCCTTTGACCACGATGACACACTTCCCATAGGCCTTCTTTACGACGTCACAGAACTCAAAGAAGAGGCTGTCTTCCTGTTTGATACACAGGTCGTCCTTTAAGAACATCCGGTATTTCCAAGGCACCCACCCCTGGCTGCCTCCGGCATGCAGGATACACCAGGTGGGGGCGTGCACGTGATAGTTGTCACTGAAGTCTTCTCCGGTGACCAGAGTTTCCGGGATCTCGGTTTCCCCAAAATACACAGTCTTATACCCATCGTACTGCAGCATCCTCAGAGTGTTCAGATACTGCAGGCACTGCTGCTTCCTGATGCTGTCAAACTGAGCTCTGATAACGATGCTCTTCAGGAGGGAGTTTGTTAAGCGAGCCATGGGGACTCCCCAAGTGGCTCACATCTCCGCATCTGGGGAGGTCTGGAAGGAGGAGGACAATGACCTCATAAAGGGTCTTCCCACTGCCGTAGCTACACTTCACACGCAGAGCATCCTGGGTCTCATGCTCAGAACACTAACCACAGACGCTGCTGCCCTGCATCACTTTGGGGCAGGCGTTTTATGGTGGTCAAGTTTCTGGCTCCCCTCCGTTTGGATTATCATGTGCATCCATCCATTCCAAAGGTATTTATTGTGCCGTGTGCCAGGGGATAGCCATGATGTGTCCAGGGAGGCCGGGGATGTGAGTGCTGTGTGCCCGTGGGCACATGCCACCTGCCTGTCTACCTTTACAGCTCTTTTCCCAGGTGACAAACAAGCTGCCTACCTGTCTCTCTGCCAAAACTGAGCTGACTCACTATTTTATTTGAAAAGCATTTGATGTGATATAGCTTTTTGAAGCAAGGTCTTGCTATGTAACCCTAAGTGGCCCTGTATTTGGCCCAGGCTGGGCCAAATACTTTTAGCAATCCTCCTGACCCATCCGTTTAAATTCTGCGATCACAGATCGACAGGGACCCTTGGGAATAGACAGCTACGGTTCCTGACGCCCAGGTTAGTTTGGAGAGAAACACGGTTTTTCCTCACTCAAATGGATATGTTGGCATTCAGGTACAGAGGTGGTTTGGTTTCTTGTAAATAAAAAGGTAAAGAATGTGATTTAGTTTCCCCCAGTGCTCACAGTAGCCCCACGGAGCCTCTATGGAATGTGGGCTGAGAAACTCTAGTCTGGTTCAAGCTTGTTGTAGCTACCAGTACTGTTTCCTGTTAGGTCACTGGGCGGGTGGAAAGTTGTGATATCTTGAGGTGATGACCCCTTCCTTCCAGGCTATAGTATGTAGTGGTCCAGGCTGTGGGGATCATCCTCCAACACAGTGTTTGACCAGCCTGCTCCAGTAGGCCTGAGCTCGGCCCCCAGCCCCCCAGCCCCCAGCCCCCAGCCCCCAGCTCCCTGCTGTGTTCCAATGAATGATACCACAAAGGAGTGACCTGAGCTATGGTCAGCCATCTCTATAGGCAAAGTCTGCTGGGCTCTGCATGAGTAGGAGCACCTCTCTCCTAATAGTGAGTGTCCGTTTCCTAGAAACAAATAGAGAAGGAGTCTGTTGGCTTCTCCTGGCCATACAGTTACTAACGGACGGGCGTGAAGTGCCACAGTCATTCCTTGGCCTTCCAGGTGAGGGTCCAGATAGACAGGGGTCACAGAGTGGGACAGACATTGCTCTTCTAACCCCAACCCCCGCCCTGAGCTGTGGAAGACCACCCCCACTGGCGTCAGGCTCCTCGCTCGCTCTCTGTCTGGAAGGAGAGCAGTTTGGGGACAGGAGCATGTCCTAATTAGCTTTAGCTTTCAAGGACAGGCCTAGGACAGAGTCCTCTGAGGGAGTGTCCAGGGCTGTGACGGGTCATCTTGATTGACAGTTGATGTGGCCAGTGAGCCTCTGAAGGTGGGGCTGTGTAAGAAAGCTAGATGAGTGTGAGCCAGGGAGCCAGCTAGTCAGCAGTGTGCATCCCTGGCCTCCGCTTCCAGCCCCCCTTGAGCTCTTCAGTGACGGACGGTGACCTGGAAGTGTAAGCTGAATAGACCCTTTCCTCCCCCAAGTTACATCTGTCCTGGTGTTTGTCATACTAACAAAAAGCAAACTAGGATTGGAGTGGAGACATTGCAGGGCTTCAAAATCTGATAGACGTAGCCCCGAGACTTCCGCTGGCTGTGTGACAACGTACAGATCTCTTAGCTTCTCTGGCCTCGGCTTCCTGGAACCACCGTCTGTGAGAGGGTGGTCAAGGCTGGCGTGTGTAAATGCATCAGCACTTCGGAAGGTCCTTCAAACCCAGATCCCTCCCTTGAAGGTTTAATGGTTGCCGGCACAGACAAAGTGTGGGTACAGACAAAGTGTGGGCACAGACAAAGTGTGGGCACAGACAAAGTGTGGGTCCTGTTTGTCCCCCACTTGCTCTTCATCCCCCTGGGAGCATCCGCTGGCAACTCTGGGCTTAGACCAACAGCATACTCCATCACAGCCCGCTTTGGTTGGGGTCCAAGGTGTCTGTGTTGTGGCTTGTATGTAAAGTATCCCCCCCACACAGGCTCATAGTTTGTGAATTTTGTCCCTAAATGATGGCATATATTTGAACGTGGTGTAAAAATGGGGGTTGAGTGTGAGTAGAGGAAGTGGTCCCCAGGCCCCCCCCCCCCGTCTGCATCCTACAGCCATGACGGGAAGATGCGCCCTCACCGGCGCCTGCCACCCCAATGTTCTGTTCAAGTGCCTAGAAGCAAGAGACTCTGGCCAAACCCTCAGCAACTGGACCCCAAGTTAATCTTTCCTCCCGGAAGTGACTCCTTCCTTCCAGGGGTTTTTGTCACAGCTGTGCAGAACTAAGCAAGATGGCCTGTGTCCTCCAAGCCCTCATAATCCTTGGGGTTCTTTCTTTCACCACTGGGGACTCTGGTTCTGGAGGAGCCAGCCCTTGTCCTGCCTCTCTGGGTGCAGATTGGTTTCACCCTTGACAGAAATCTTGTCTGGCCCTTGTAAGGCAGAGTGTGGGATCAAGCTGGCCTCTGCTTTCTCTCTCTGTGTGTGTGTGTGTGTGTGTGTTTTGCTAATTAAGATTTTCAGTGTGCTCCAAGTGATGTGTGTTTGTAAGTAGGGGCTGTAGGACAAAGGACAGTTTGGCTCCCTGCTACCTATGTCCTGATGAGGCTGGTCCATGCCTGAACAGACTGGTGGCCGCTTACTTGTGTGTGGAAGGTGATGACAGCCTTTTACAAGCCAGGAGGGCTACAGCTATGGCTCAGACAGTGCCCTCCTGACAAAGGACAGTGGCAGTGTTAATATTCTCCAAAGAGCTCCGGCTTTGTGTGTGTGTACATGGAACTTGACAAGCGACCGTTGCTGACTGTTCTCACTGTGTCTACTTACGGTAAGAATGTAGACTCCGCGTGACGTGTGTCCCATGGTGCATCAGTCAGTTACTGGGCAGCTCATGCATACTCTCCTGGCAGGGTCCGTCACTCCTGCCAGGCTGGGAGAGTCTGGCGGACGGGGGCGTCCCTGTGCTCTGAGCTACACAGAACAAAGCGAGGGCGGTTGCTAATAAATGTAGCCCTGCTGTGGCTCCTGGGTCTTTAAAACGAAGTCACTTTGTGTGACATCCCCAGCGCCCACATGTTCCAGGTGATCATCTGCCACTCAAAAATGTACACGACCCAGAAGGTGAATGTCGATCCCAAGCATTCGACTCCAAGCTCAGCCTTCGTCCATGACAAGAAGACATCCCTTTGTCCCCCGGAGCCATCCCTGAGCCCCTCTGGGAACCCCCAGCCCCACTCCAAACTGTGGCTTCTGTTGTTTCTTCTTATCATGCCGGAGAACCCTGAGAATAAGCTGCTGGTGACAGTTCACACTCAGACGTGTCCATGGCCAGAGATGCTCACCCTGCCCTAACCCAGGGTTCCGTTCCTTTCTCAAGATCCCAGGCAGGCCCCGAACTGCTCCACCCATGAAGGGCTCCCAGTGGCGGTCTGCTGGCCTTGACTTTCGGGGGACCCCGTGGGCTCCTGTGTGAGCCTGTCACCCTCACTCACCCTTTGGTTCCAGGCCATCTTGAGGCTGATGGGCAGCGGGGTTCCTGATGATGAGAGAACACTCGGCCACTTTGCTCTGAAACCCTCCTTTCCTTTCGAGTTCAGAAGTTAAGTTTGAGTAGTAAATGTCGTCCAAGGACCTCTCATCTCTCCTGAGGATGTTGCTGGCCATCTGGAAGATGAAGATCACACCATAGATGCCGATGATGGCGAGGATGTACCAGGCGGCGCCAGTGGTATCCAGCAGCCTCAGGTTCCTGGTGGAATTGGTGCAATTCCTCCCCTCCACAGGGTCTCGTAGGAGCGGGCTGGACTGGGTCTGGTTGAAGGCTTCCTGGGGTTTCCACTTGATCACTGCGGAAACAGAGACCCAGATGAGACAGAGTTTCCTGTGCTAAGAATGCAGGTCCATATCCAAGACCATGGCGGTTCGTGCCTGGGACAGCGTGTGAAGGCTTTCTCTGCAACAGGCGAGAACCTACCAACATATATGCCACACTCCAGAAAAAATCAACACTTCAAAACAGAGTCTTTGAATATAATATCAAATTTAACCACACTTAACATTGTTTAAATGTGCTTGCATGCCAGAAAAGCAGAGTCCGGGAGAGCAAAGAGATGGCTTATGGGTAAGAGTGTGTGTTGCTCTCGCGGGGTCTGAGTGCACTTCCCAGCGCCCATGTTAGGTGGCTCCCAACTGCCTGAACTCTGACCCTGAACTCCAACCCCTGAACTCTGACCCCAGGGACCTGTGCACCTTCTGGTCTCCTTCACACATATACAGAGACAAATGCGTCAGCACATAATTAAAAATAAAAGCTTTAAAAAACGTGCAAATGGCGAACTGCATAAACAGCGCCAATTATACTACTCAACAGCCTTCAGTCCTAAAAGAAAAGAATCTAAAGTCTCGGTAGAAAGACATGCAGTCGGATCACAGGAAAAAGGCAAAGGAATGTCAGCCTGAGAAATGTGTGCATTAAAAACGGGCTCGTGTGTATGGGGCAATGAGGGCCGCTGGCAAGTGTACGTCTGTTCTGTCCATAGAGAGGGCTTCTTGGCAGGATCTGTGGACACTGAAGATGTCCCCTGACCCTGCCACTTGTCCTGAGCAACTTGTCCAAAGGCACTCCAGCACAGGCCTGAACTACAGAATCAGGCCCCACACCCCCAGATCCAGCTAGCCACAGATAAGGAGCATTTGCAATGAAGACACTGAGCTTGTCCTGAATGCCTAAGGGCCTTTCTCCTTCTGTTATTCCCTAAACAGTACACTGGAACAACTCTTTACATGGCATTTACAAGTGGCTGCACCGGAAGTAGTGTAAAGATGATTGAGACACACAAGAAAGCACACAGGGTATCATTTTATGGAAATGACTTGCGCATTCACGGATTCTCTTATCTGTGGGAACCCTGGAGCCAGTCCTCCAAGGATAGCAGGGAACTCTGCTCTCTGAGGTGAGTCATGACGGCCAGCAAGTGAGAGGGTGAAATACACGTGGAGTTTCCATGCAGAGAGGCCATGTACAGGGTCTCAGATCTAAATATTAACCCGTGTAAACTTCACTAAAGCAGATGTGTGTAAAACCCGTGGGTGCATTGACTGCCCTCAGTCTAACCAGATTCCCTGGCCTGAGGTGAATGAATGTATGGAAAGGAAAGGTCGTTTGGTCCCAGTGTCAGAGGTTATAGCCCATGATCAATCACTTGGTGCCATTGCTTCTATCTGTGAAGGGGGTGTGTGGTAGAGGAAGGGGCTCTCCATATGGTGGCCAAGAAATAGAAGGGGCTGCTGGATTCCCAGAGTCCCCTCAAGGTCACTCCTCCAGTGACCTAATGCCCTTCTACCAGGTTGCACCTGCTCTCAGCAGCCACGTCTCCAAGCCACGGATGGCCACGTCTCCAAGCCACGGCAGCGTGCTGTAACTGTGGGAGAATATAAAGAAACGAGCACCGTTGGTCACCCCTAGAGACGGGAGCTGGGGGTAGGAGACGGACCTCCCATGGCGCACCCTTTTGGGCACTTTGTGTTACACAGTGCGTACTTATTTTCAAAAAGAAATTAATTTTCAAAAGGAAGGGGCACAATTTTCCTGTTCTGGTCTCCTTGGCTCTGGGAAAAGACATCATGCTCCTGTCTGATGAGAAGATTAAGACTTCCGCTGCTGTGTAGCTCCGAACTGTTGTCTGCGGAGGGAGTCAGAGAAGCCGCGTCCCCCACGTGACTGCTGGCTTCGCCTCAGTCTGCAGGGCCCACCACAGGGCTCGCAAACTGCCCACTGGACATTAGTTTGCTGCTCTCCTCTGTTTCCTAAAGCAAGACACCAGAGCTCTGCTCTGTTTTAAATCAGAGTTCCTTGGCAGAGTAAGTAGATAATCGTACTCATTTTATATAAAGGACTGCTTAAATGTGAATCTCCCAGCCACACTTGTCAAAGCCCAGCACCAATGGGATTAGAATCTCACAGCTCTCAGGAGCATTCTACACTGCTGGTAGAATACTTTGAGACCTTGAACACAAGGTGGGGGGGCAAAAATCTCACAATTACTACTATTTAAAATATCAAACCAACCCGGGAAGAATACAGTAAGTTTTAATTACCGCAAGAGAATTTAAACTTAAAGGGGATGCATAAACTCGTAGAACTTTCTGGAAATTGCTAGAATGTTGCTACATATTCAAGTACCGAATTAAATCTACCGAGCTAGGAGCCGGGTCTCAATTCAAAAGTAACTACTTTGATGATGCAATTGATGTGCTCTGTCTATTTAGGGTGAGAGTAAGTTTTACGGATAAATAGATCCTGTGCCAGGGGTGTGCCCACCAACACCTGTTATTTACTGATGTGAAACGAACACCCGGAGCTGCCAACCCCACTACTCACGGTCCATGAGCTGCTCTTGGCCTTGACTCTCAGGAGGCGAATTCAAGAGGCTTCCACAAAGGGGAGAGGGGACGATGACAGGGCTCTGTCCTGCAGACCACGGCCCCCGTGTGCCCAGGCTGCACCCTGAACACCGCAGAGCAATCCCAGGCAAAACTCAGCCCATGGCAAGTGGAGACTTCTCTTCTTTAGCTGAGCAGAGGGTCTGAGTCCTCTGTACCCACAAGAGAGAGCGCAGCCTGTCTGTGGCTTGTTAGAAAGGGCCAAATCAAAGGTCTTTCCTTTTAAAGTGCAGGCCCTAGGAAGCCTGCCGCCCTCCGCAGGGCACATGGGAAGCCTGTGGTGCTCTCTGAGCCGGATAACTCCTGCACCGCCCTGTTCTGCACTGCCCTGTCCTGTATTTCTGGGCAAAGGGTGGAAATATGAACCCTGCTCAGCCAGGGAAAAAAAGAGTTTGTTTGTAACAAGCACACTAGCCCTTGCAAGGATCCAACCTTTTCTGTGTCTGTGGCAAATTCTTGCTTTTAAGTATTTGAAATCGATCCCCTAGCCTTCTGTCTGTGTTCCTGGTCTGCATTTTCTTGTAGGGCTGTTCCCTGTAAGCTACAGTCTGTCCCCAGAAAGAGAATTAAGAGAGAGCAAAATAAGCCATACATGCTGGTTGCCCTGACTTCAACACCCTCCCCCTAAAAGTCATTCAGCACCAACTTCAGGCCCTCCTCGCCCTTTGGAAGCTGGTCTGAAGCCAGAAATTGGGACCAGAATTCTTGTACTACAGAGCTAGGTGGTACCCATAGATGCTCTGCTCCCTTGTGGTGAAAATGTGTTATAACAACCAGGCCATTGCCACATAGGTGTGTGATAGATTCTCTATGTGATCAGTCCACAAAATTTCAATAGGCAGCTATGCAGGTGTCATGATATGTTTTCTATCAAAATAATGGTTATTGTTGTGCCGGGTTCACAGAGCCCCAGACTAACCCAAGGAGACACACAATTCCAATGCGGAATGAGATGCCAACCAGCCATAAAGGGAAGCTTTTAAAGGGGAAGACCATGAGGTTGAAGGTCACAAATTCCAGAGTTTCCATGGTTACAGAGATTTCTTAGTGTACAAGTTTACAAAGTTTCCATACAAGGTAATTGAGAAACAAAGGGTATTTAGCAAAGGTGCCTTAACTATTGTCTGCTCAGGCAAGGTTGATTAACACATGCTGGGGTTTGGGAGAGGTAATCTAGTTCCCTTTTTCTTTAAGGACATCCTGGGGCCTGGGGGAATCTATGACTGGCAGGTCAGAGAGGCTACCTGGTTCCAGTTTTCTTAAGAGATAATGGGGAGTGTTATTTACACAGTTGGTGATGAGCTCAGGCTTCCCTATTCTTGTGAGAACTGCTCCTGACTTCCTGTCTCATAGCCTAGAGTCGAGGGTCCCTTGCTTAGTTGGGGTCTTTTATTTTTCTCATTACAATTATATATGTGGATTTTACATGGACATGCAATAATAATTTTTTTCGCAAATTTTTCACAATAAAAAAATCGTTTAAAAACTGCAAAACCAAAACCCAGACCAACCCAAGCATGTGTACACACACAAACACACATACGTAAACACCACCGAAATTCCGATAGTTATGCGTAGGTGATAAAATTTCTGCAAAGGATTGTGGGGTATGTTCAGCCTGGTCCTTCCTCAGAAGGGCTGGATTCTCATCACAGCTTCCTTGAATGTCCCCAGTCATGCATCACATAGCCGCCAATGCTCCATGAACACACAGGGGAAAAAAAAAAAATCATGGTGGCCCTAGAATACAGCTCTACCATGTGAACTTTCTATAAGGAGCAAGATCATAAAGAGACCCATAGAATCTCTTCTGTTGTTTTTGTGTGGGTGTGGCATATGTATGTGTATGTATGTGTACATGTGGATGTGTACCCATGTATGCGCATGTGAAGGCCAGAGTCGGTGCCAGATGTCTCCCTGGATCTATGCCTACCTTGTTTTTCCATTGGTTGGCCTGGTGCTCACTGTTTCAGATAGGCAGTCTGGCTGGCAAGTCCCCAGAATCCACCTGTCCCTGCCCCCAACGCGGCTACAGGTATATGGAGGGACCTCGTCATTTTTACATTCTCGCTTAGGAACTAAGTTCGGGTCCTCATGCTTGCCAAAGGATTCATCTTAGATTGTATGTAAGTGCCTGTGTCCCAATAAAATTTTACTTACAAAAAGGCATGGCGTGTATGGACCTACCAGAAAGGCCCAAACGCAGAAGGCGGACAACAGCAGGTCCTGCGGCAGCTCAGGCGACAGGAACCTCTCACAGGGCGCTCGTGGGAATATGGGAAGGGACAGTCACTGCATAACAGTGGAGGGCTCTTACCTATGACCCAGCAATTGCCATCCTTAGCATTTACCACAAGCAGTTGAAAACGTCTGTGCACATGAAGTCTGCTCTCAGATGTTATGTAGCTTTACTGTCTTTGCACAAACTCAGAAGCAGCCAAGATACTCTTCAAGCAGAAGAGTGGATCAATAAACCACGGTACCTTCCAAGTAGACTGTTATTCAGCACTAGAAACCGCGTGTGCGTGCGTGCGTGCGTGCGTGCGTGCGTGCGTGCGTGCGTGCGTGCGTGCGTGCGTGTGTGTGTGTGTGTGTGTGTGTTTGGGGGGGTGAGCTATGAAAAGACAAAGGGAATGTTAATAAGCACTTGCTGCCTGAAAGAAGTCAATTAAGAAACGAGAATGTTGTGTGATTCTAACTATGACACTGAGAAGGACAGATAAAGTTTGTGGGGAGACAGGGGTGATTGGGTGGAGCACCGGGCACTGGAGGGCAGGGAACAGCAGACACATGCCCAAGGCTACAAGATACATAATATCAAAAGTAAGCCTGTTATGGTTTGAACCTGAAACATTCCCCAAGGGCGTTATTGCTTAATGCCTGCCCCACAGCTGGCGGCTGTGGTGCGCTGTGGAACCCTAGGGGCCCAGCTGGTGTTTGCATTGGTACTCTGTTTCCTGGTGTCCAGTGCAGTGAAGAGCCTCTGCCACACCCCTCCTCCGCCGCATCCCTCCCATCGTGTCCTCTCTGCCTGTTGACTGGCATGTTTTGAAAGCTCGAGCCCAGGGACTGGGAGGTAGCCTAGCCAGCAAAGTGTTTGCAAATGCGAGGATGTAATCTATCCCAAGACCATGTAAAAGTGCCAGGCATGGCGGCATGCACTCACATTTTCATGCTGGTGAGACTGAATGGAGTGATGGAGAGGAGACAAAGCTCAGATCCCCCAGAGCCGTGTACCTGGAGGGGGTGGTGGTCTTCTCTCCAGGTGGAGCACCCATGGTCCCTTATGGCTGAAATGTCCTCTGGCCTGGAAAGGAGGTTATTTTCCTGGGGCTTGGAGGGATGATTGTGCCATCCCTCGAATGAGAGAGGACTGATGTCCTCACAGCTTTCCCGGGAACCTGAGCAATGACCTCGAGGTCTTCCCTGACGGATTGTCTCACATCACACCTGGAGAAGGCATCTCTTCCGGGACAGTAGGTACCATCTCCCAAGCACCGTCGGTTGATCAAAATTTCAGCCTCCCAACAGTGTCTCGAGGCTCTCAGAATTACCTAGGCAAAGGCTCTAGGCTGTGCTTAGAGAAACATCCTCAAAGTTACCACCAGGGGGCAGCCACACCCAGCAGTCTGATAAACCCACCAAAAGACAAGAAAAAGTCCAGCATTTTGAGATCTGTGCGATAGTGTGATGTGTACCTCGGGTAGACATGGCGACTGAAGGTCTCGCAGTGACAACTGCTCCGTCTCCTTTTCACGTTTAGGTTGGTTTTACACATCCCATGGCTGCGCATACAACAAGAAGCCAAACCTATCAACCCAATCAGAGCATGCGCACATTTCCCGGGTCCTCATGGCCTCCGGGCTTTTGCTTATCTCCTTCGGCCTGGCTGGGTATTTATGTCCCATTTGTTCCCATAAAGAGTCGCTACTGATGAGGACTCAAGATAGATAGCCCCCCTGGCCTGTGGACTCAGGCA